TTCTCGTCACCACGGCTGTCGCCCTGCGGCCGAAATCCGCCTTCAATCGGTCCCCAGGCCCCCAAAGGGTCCACCCCTGGCCCATCCTTCGAGCTGCCTCCAGCCGTGGAGGCGAGAGAACCGCCAGAAACGCATGCTTTGGCCGAATGCCGGTGCCTGTGGCCTTCGACCTAGAGCGCCCGCGCCAACTGTCGCCACCGCGTCGATGAGCGCAAACTACAGTCGGACTCGATTGGAGAGGACACGCGAAAGGACACAAGACCCTTCCGAGGGCCACGTTGCCACAGAAATGCAGGAGGCATGGGTCGCAAGACGCAGGACACGAGGGTTCCCTACGTCTGGGAGGGTCGACCTACTACTCCGGGCCGCATGTAACCGAGGGCCAATTTCGCTTGAAGTTGATCCCCAGACCACTCCCAGACACCACCCCGACCAAGCTCGCGAGCAGTGTCCAGCCGTGGCCACGACCGAGCATCCCGAAGCTCAAGCAACTCCAAGAGATCTGCCTCGATACGCGACTCGGCCGACGCGCCCGCGCCACGCCAAGACGGCACGAACCTGCAATATGTGAGAGAGCGTGATCCACCGCCGCTTTACTTTAGAAAATTGCCAACCTTTTCCTCTGGGACCCGGGGGTCGCCTCCCCCCCCCCCGAAAATCCCCCCCCCCCCTGCTGGACCCCCCCCCCCACCACCCCCCTCCCCCGATAAAACCCCGCCTCCCCTAACCCCCCCCCCCTCGAAAACCGGGGGGGTCACTACCGGTTCGAACCCCTCCCCCCCCCCCCCTCCGGATCCGGAAAACCGGGGGGGGTCACTACCGGTTCGAACCCCCCCCCCCTCGAAAACCGGAGGGGGGTCACTACCGGTTCGACCCCTCCCCCCCCCACGCACCGCCAGCAAACGACTCCCGGTCCCTACCACCGTCCGCATCACATCCCCCACTGTTGTTCCCAGCACCACTGTCCTCACCACCACTGTCCCCACTGGTTCCACCACCGTCCCTACTGTCCCCACCAGTGCCCCCACCACTGTCGCACTGTCCCCGCTGTCCCCACCACTGTTCCCACCACGGTTCCACTCTCCCCACTGTCTCCACGGCCCCAACCACTGCCCGACTATCCCCACTGTCCCCACTGTCCCACTGACTCTCCGCTGTCCCACTGAGCTGTCCCACTGTTCCCACCACTGTCCCCACTGTCCCCACCACTGTCCCCACTGTACCTCTGTCCCATTGTCCCACCGCCGTCCTCGCCACCGCCTTCACCACTGTCCCCACCACCATTGTACCCTCCACTGTCCCACTGTTTCCACCTCATTCCCACTGTCCCCACACCACTGTCCCCACCACCACCGTCCCCACCACTGTCCACTGTCCCCCCTGTTCCCACCATTGTCCCCACCACTGTCCCCACCACTACCATCCCCACCACTGTCCCACTGTCCCACTGTCCCCACCACTGTCCCGCTGTCCCCTCACCACTGTCCCTACCAACACCGTTCCCACCACTGTCCGCACCCCCACTCGGTTTTCGAGGGGGGAGGGGGGGGGGAGTTCGAACCGGTAGTGACCCCCCCCGTTTTTCGAGAGGGGGGGGGAAGGGGTTCGAACCGGTAGTGACCCCCCCTTTTCATTATGAACTGGGGGCGGGGGAGGGGTTCGAACCGGTAGTGACCCCCCCAGGTTTTCCGGAGGGGGGGGGGGGAGGGGTTCGAACCGGTAGTGACCCCCCCCTCAGTTTTCCGCCAGCAGAGGTAGAACACGCCCTTTCCAATATGTAAAGATCGCTTGCAATGCGGCGCTTCCCGTTCTTGCCCTGTTGTGTTGCTTCGATGATTAGCGACAGCACTGGCATCCCGTTGCCACAGCAGCCGCTGCGGCCTGCTGCAGCTTGTTTTGCAGACGAGGGCCCAGAGCTGCTGGCGACACGACACCCTTGCCCACGATGCGGCCCTCACAACAGGACATGCTCCTGGGTCAATGAGTGCACAATCCGAACACCCCCGCAACCTACAACCAGGCGGCCCGCTCCAGCAACCCCGAGCCCAGACACAGGGGCATGGACGGGAAGAAACCGGAGACCGTGACCGCAACTGAACGCGGAACGTCGGGTCGATCCTCGGTCACCGTCCGCCTCGGTCAGCGACAATTCGTGGACCATCCCCGCGAGTCGGCGACGGCCGGCAGGGACCGTGACCGCGATCGGCGTCGACAAGATCCTGCGACATCCTGATCATGGCCAGTGTGCCTGTTCCCTCGCGGGCAACTCTCTCGGGCCCCCACCCTCTGCCTCCGCCGCGCTTCCGCCGCTTCCGCCGACCTCCCAAGAGGAGGAGGAGGAGGAGGAGGAGGAGGAGGAGGAGGAGGAGGAGGAGGAGGAGGAGGAGGAGGAGGAGGAGGAGAATCGAGGGAGGCGCAGGAGGAGAAGCGCCCGCGCCGAGCCCGCCGGAGGCGCAGGGGTAGGGCTCGCAAGTGGTCGCAGGGCGCTCCGTTCCTCCGACCCCCCGAGCCCCCGCCGAGCACCCGCCGAGCCCCCGCCGAGCCGCCGCCGAGCCGCCGCCGAGCCTCCGCCGAGCTCCCGCTGGCGCCGAGCCGCGCCTCCGCCCCACGGCCGCTGGCCCTCCGCCGCCTCCCCTCTGGGGCTGGGCTTAGGTCGGGCGTGTCCCCCTACAGGCGAAGTTTGGAAGAACCAATTTAAGAAGTTTTTTAAAAAATACGCCAAACACGAACAAACATAGTCAGAAAATCGACCCCAGTGAATGTTTTGTACTATTTTGGGATATTCCTCCTGTAGACAGACGGGCCCGACTGAAGACTGGGCGCTGGCCTCTCTCGGGCCGGGCGAAAGGGGGGATGGCAAAGGGGGGGTTTTGAGAACCAGCTCGCGCAGCTGATCTTCCCGGCGCCTCCCGGCGCAAGAGGCGGCCGTGTGCATCGAGGAATGGACCCCTCGGTGGGGCTGAAACCAGCTGCACGCAGCAGATTTCGTAACCTCCCCTTTCGGGATCCCCCCCTTTCGTTCGGCCCGACTCTCCGCACCCTCCGAGGGCGAGGGCCCTTCCCCAGAGCGCCCCGGCGACCGTCGGCCCTGGACCCCGGAGCACCCGCGCCGCCCCCCCCCCCGCTGCCTCGTTGACGCGAAGAAGGCGGGTCCTGGATCCCAGGCTGGGGGCTGCCAAGGGTGCCCCTGGCCCAAGGCGCCCCCAGCTTTTCAGTAAATTCTGGAGCCTCCTCCTTCCCGTCCTCCTCGTCCTCCTCGTCCTCATTCTCCTCCTCCTGCTCCTGCTCCTGCTCCTCCTCCTCCTCCTTCTTCTCCTCCCCTGGGACCCTCTGGACCTCGCGACGGGTGCTCTGGAGGCCGTGGGGGCCTCCTTGGAAAATCATGGGGGCACCCTGGGCCAGGGGCACTTCCAGCAACGTCCGACCGGGGGCCCTTGAGGGGAAGCGGGTCCTTGACCCCAGGGACGTTCCCCCCTACCAAAGACCAACTCTTTACCCTGGGCCTTCTTCGGCAGGGCCGCGGGAGCTCCGAAAATGGCCAACTCCTCCAAGGCCTCGTTTCCCTCAGGACCCGTCTGCTTGATGGGAACAAGAGAAAGGTGGCATCACAGTCAACACGTATAGTAAGGATGCGCGGTAAGGATGCAAGGGCCTTGGAGGACCATGCTCACGTTTTTCGAACGAGGCTGACCAGCGAAAGTTACAAGGATGGGCCGAAGGGACAAGGATGCAAGGGTAGCCTTGGAGAGTCGCTCATCCTTACGTCCTTACTGTACGGGTTGACTGCACCACCAGCGCGAGGAGCCAGATTAAGGGGCCCTGGGACACACAAAGAAATACATACAGAAAAAAGGTTCCCCAGAGTTTCCTAAACTTTCTGGGTCTATGGATTCCCCCACACACACACTGCCCATATTTTCATACATTTTCTGTGAGATCGACGATGAATTGTGTCTGTGTGTTTTCTCTCCTCCTGACCAAAGGGGGGCCCTCCTGGTGGCGTGGCGCCCCCACACCTCGCTCGAAGCGCCCCCTCTTTCGAGCTCGGGAAGGCATCGTGGACCTCATCGCCGGAGGTGGCACCCCTAGACGACAAAAACTGCAAGAAGGAAGCTGCCAGAGGTCCGCGCGGATGTCTTGAACCGGCCCTGGCTCGCGGAGTGCGCCGGGGGAGGCGCCAGAGGCGCCGTCAGGGGGGCCAGAGCCGATCAGAGAAATCCGCGCGAACCTCCGAAAGTGCACGTTCTTGCAAATGCTGTTCCTCCGAACCTCTGGCGGCGGCGGAGCCGGTTCCCGGAGGCTTCCCGAATCGGGCCCGAGCAGCTGGGGTCGGCGGATCGCGCCGCATCGCCGACGCATAGGCGATGCATCGGCGTGGAGAAAATACGACGAGGCGGCGCTTTCCGCCGACCCCACCCACACTCGGCACCTCGTCTGGAACGCCTGGGATGTCTTTTCCCCCGACCTTACGGCGAGAGCTCCCCCCCAGGAGCAAAGGAAAGGCAACAACACTCAAACAGGGAACCACCAGCGGGAGGAGCCAGGGGGGCCCCCCCCTGTGGTGTGCCCGCCCCCCTCTCGTTCAAAAAATCACTTATCTTAACGGGCGAAGAGCGGTGTAGAATAAACGTGTCCGTCACCGGGTGCGCCCGTCCCAGGGCGGCTGGAAACATTACAACCTGACGTGCCACCGCAGGGGCATGAACTTTCCAGCCGCCCTGGGTCGGGCGCCCCCGACGGCGAAACACATGATGCTAAACAGCTCTTCGCCCGCGAACGATCCCCAGCTCGGGGAGGCATCGTGACCTCCCCGCTGGAGGTCGCCCCGCTGGCGGTGGTGGTGCCGCTCCTCTGCTCCCGCCCCCCGCCCCCGCGGGGCCTGCCCCCGGCGAGGGCGCCCGCGGGCAGGAGCGGCATCGCGCACGGACGCGCTCGCGGCGGGGCTCCCCGCGGGCGGCGGGGGCGATCCGTCGGGTCCGCGCGCGCCGCCGCCGCCCTGGGGAGCAGAAAGTGCGGCAGGATGGGGGAGGGAGGGGCGAGGAGGGAGGACGATCGAGGGGGAGAGAGGAGGAGGGAGAAGGAGGATTGATCGATCAATCATGCTCTCGGGCCGAGTTCCAGGCTGCTGCGCGTCGACTAGAGCCCAGCAGCATCGTAGAATCTAGTTGGGCCTAGCTGTGGTTACTCTGTCAGTGGGGTGCGTAGGCGCACCTACGCTCAGGCCCTGCCTGTACCAGCTTATCCACGCAGGGGTACGCCAGCACGGTGGCGGAGGAGGAGGAGGACAAGGGGAGAGGACTGCATTCGACGAACCCTTCAGCCATCAGGAGTCAGGAATCAGGAAGAACTATGAAAATCCGAAACGCATCAACCATGTTGCAAATAGCTCTTCCCTCCAAGTTGCTGCGACCCATGAGAAAACAAGCGACTGAGAATCATCGAGCGTGCCAAAACGCCGTTTGTGAGCTTCATCGCAGCGGGTCAACCTGACGATCCGAAATCGTGCCAGGAAGCCTTGCTTTTGGCTCCAACACCGCGAATCAAACAGTTGCGTCCTGATTATCCAAATTCGTGCCAGGAACTCATTCCTGGGATTTCGACCACACGACAGTCTTGAAACGGTTACGAATGTTTAAAAACGGATGTGCGCGGCGCTGAGGCAAGAACCACATTTTGAAAACCACCCGCCCTCCATCTGTGAAAATCCGCCAGCCCTCTTGTGGCACCATCAGGCTGCGAGGATTAGGTTTGCTGCTCCCTGCACCAGTTCCAGCTTCCAGTTTCCAATGTTTCAGTATTGTAACTGTAAATTGTTACTGTCCGCTCGAGGGGGGAAGCCGAAAAGGGCCCTTGTTAGCGTCCCCGAATCGCGTTGTCTGAATTTGTTGGGGGTTGTGGGACACATAAAAATAAGTGATACTCGGGCTCCCGACGCAATAATTCCTCGTAAATCACGCTGTGTTCGCGCCCCCGAGCCCAAGACTCCCTTGAGAATAACACTGTATTCGCGTCCCCGAAGCCACGATCCCTCGTAGAATACCCCAGATTCACGCTCATGAGGCCATGATCCCATGTAAATCACGCCACATTCTCGCATCTGGAGCTACTAGCCTTAATACATTAGCAGTCGCGGCCCCGAGGCTACGATCCCTCGTAAATTGCACCACATTCGCGCCCCCGAGGCCACGATCTCCCTTAAATTACACCACATTCGCGCCCCCCGATCCCGCGTAAATTCGGCCAATCGCGCCGCATTCGCGCCCCCGAGGCCACGATCTCCTACAAGAGGCCCCAAGAGGCGCCCAAGACGCGCCCAAGAGGCCTCCAAGAAGCCCAAAAGATTCCCCACGAGGCCCCAAGATGCCCCCAAGTGGCGCCCGAACCGCCTCCAAGAGGCCCCCGAAAGGCTCCCCACGACATCCCAACACACATACAAGAGGCCTCAGACCCACAACCCAAGCACGGTGGCTGGATGGGCCGAAGGCCACTAGGATCCGCCGCCCCCTGTCGCTTCAGCAAAGGCGGGCCCGGCGGGCCAGACCCTATCGGTTTTGATGTTGGTTCTTTTTCCCCAAAAGAACTCTCCCAGTGGGTTTCGGTCCGTCCCGCCGGGGTCCCGGGATTTGTTCCACTGACCTCACTTCCCCAATGTTCTGCCCCAGACGGCTCCAAGATGGCCTCCAAGATGGCCTCCAAGATGGTCAAGATGGCCCAAGATGGCCTCCAAGATCAAGTCCGCCCAAGATGGTCCAAGGCGGCCTCCAAGACGGCCCAAGAGAGTCCAAGACGGCCCCAGACGGGCCAAGAGGCCCACCAGAGGCCTCCAAGACGGCCCAAGAGGCCACCAAGAGGGCCTCCAGGAGGGCCCGAAGAGGCAAAAATAATTGATTTTCCCTAGATGTTTGAGGGATTTTGGAATTTGCTTCTTCTCGGCATTCCGACGGCTCAAGACGGCCCAAGAGGCCCCCAAGATCGCCCAAGAAGCCCCCAAGAGGGCACCATGACGGCCCAAGTGGCCTCCAAGATGGCCCCAAGAGGGCCCCAAGACGGCCCAAGAGGCCTCCAACACGCCCAAGATGGCCTCCAAGACGCCCAAGATGGCCTCCAAGACGGCCCCGAAGCGCCCCAAGAAGGTCCCCCGTTGGCCCAGAATGGCCCCCAAGACGGCTCCCGACGGCGTCAGACGTGCCAGGAACCCACCAAGATAGCCGAAGTTGGCTCGAAGCTGGCCCAAAAGGGCCCCAGAGGCCCCCAAGAGGGCCTCCAAAAAGGCCAGAAGGGGCCAAAAACATTGATTTGTAGTAGGTTTTTGACGGATTGTGACATTTCCTTCTTTTCGGCCTTCCGACGGCCCGAGACGGCCCAAGAGCCCCCAGAGATCGCCGAAAGATCGCCCAAGAGGCCTCCAAGACGGCCAAGATGAACTTCAAGACACCCACGTGTTCCTCGAAGGCTTTCCAAACCGATTCGGGGAACACAATGGTCCGATGCCTTGGCAGGTCTGGCCTCAACGTTCGGCCACACAAGACGGCCAGGATGACCTCCAAGACGGCCCCAGATGGCCTCCAAGTCCGCCCAAGATGGTTCAAGACGGTCTCCACGACGGCCTCAGAGAGTTCAAGACGGCCCAAGACGACCCAAGAGGCCCTCAGAGGCCTCCCAGACGGCCCCAGAGGCCTCCAAGAGGTCCTCCAGGAGGGCCTGAAGAGGCAAAAATAATTGATTTCCCCTAGATGTTTGAGGGATTTTGGAATTTGCTTCTTCTCGGCATTCCGACAGCTCAAGGCGGCCCAAGGGGCCCCGAAGATCGCCCAAGAGGCCCCCAAGAGGGCCCCATGACGGTCCAAGTGGCCTCCAAGATGGCCCCAAGAGGGCCCCAAGACGGCCCAAGAGGCCTCCAACACGCCCAAGATGGCCTCCAAGACGCCCAAGATGCCATCCAAGACGGCCCCGAACCGCCCCAAGAAGGTCCCCCGTTGGCCCAGAATGGCCCCCAAGACGGCTCCCGACTGCGTCAGACGTGCCAGGAACCCACCAAGATGGCCGAAGTTGGCTCGAAGCTGGCCCAAAAGAGCCCCAAAGGCCCCCAAGAGGGCCTCCAGGAAGGCCAGAAAAGGTCAACAGCATTGATTTTCCGTAGGTTACTGACGGATTTTGAGATTTCCTTCTTTTCTGCCTTCCGACGGCCCGAGACGGCCCAAGAACCCCCAAAAATCGCCGAACGATCGCCCAAGAGGCCTGCAAGACGGCCACGATGACCTTCAAGACGCCCACGTGTTCCTCGAAGGCTTTCCAAACCGATCCGGGGAACACATGGTCCGATGCCTTGGCAGGTCTGGCCTCAACGTTCGGCCACATAGGCGCTTACACAAAGGCAGGGGGGCGGTGATTCGCCGTAGGCGTCTTCGATCCGCTGCCCCCTGTCGCTTCAGCAAAGGGGTGCCTGGCGTGCTGAATCCTCTAGGTTTTGGTTTTGGTTCTTTTTCCAAAAGAACTCCCCCTGGGGCTCCTGGGCGTCCCGCCGGGGGTCCCGGGAGGATTGCCACGGACCTCAATTCCCTACTTGTTCTGTCAAGACGGCTCCAAGATGGCCTCCAAGATGCCTCCAAGACGGCCAGGATGGTCTCCAAGACTGCTAAGATGGCTTTCATCTGCCTCCAAGACGGCCCAAGAGAGTCCAAGACGGCCCAAGAACGCCCAAGAGGCCCCCTAGAGGCCTCCCAGACGGCCCAAGAGGCCTCCAAGAGGGCCTCCAGGAGGGCCCGAAGAGGCCAAAATCATAGATTGTCCTTAGGTTTTTGAAGGATTTTGGAATTTACTTCTTCTCGGCATTCCGACGGCTCAAGACGGCCCAAGAGGCCCCCAAGATCGCCCAAGAAGCCCCCAAGAGGGCCCCATGACGCCTCCAAGATGGCCCCAAGAGGGCCCCAAGACGGCCCAAGAGGCCTCCAACACGCCCAAGATGGCCTCCAAGACGCCCAAAATGGCATCCAAGACGGCCCCGAACCGCCCCAAGAAGGTCCCCCGTTGGCCCAGAATGACCCCCAAGACGGCTCCCGACGGCGTGAGACGTGCTAGGAACCCACCAAGATGGCCGAAGTTGGCTCGAAGCTGGTCCACAAGGGCCCCAGAGGCCCCCAAGAGGGCCTCCAGGAAGGCCAGAAAAGGTCAACAGCATTGATTTTCCTTAGGTGTTTGACGGATTTTGACATTTCCTTCTTTTCGGCCTTCCGACGGCCCGAGACGGCCCAAGAACCCCCAAAGATCGCCGAACGATCGCCCAAGAGGCCTGCAAGACGGCCACGATGACCTTCAAGACGCCCACGTGCTCCCCGAAGGCTTTCCAAACCGATTCGGGGAACACATGGTCCGATGCCTTGGCAGGTCTGGCCTCAACGTTCGGCCACATAGGCGCTTCCAGTGATTCGCCGTAGGCGTCTTCGATCCGCCGCCCTATTTTGATTTATCAAGGGGGTACCTGGCTTTGGGCTTTGGTTCTTTTCCCAAAAGAACTCCCCCTGGGGCTACGGCCCGTCCCGCCGGGGTCCCGGGAGATTGCCGAAAACCCGGTTGCAAATGTTTTTCCTGCTCCAGACGGCTCCAAGACGGCCCAAGATGGTCTCCCAGATGCATCCAAGACGGCCAAGGTGGCTTCCAAGACAGCCAAGGTGGCTCCAAGATGCCTCCAAGACGAGCCAAGATGCACTCAACCTGGCCTAAGATAGCCTCAGCATGGCCCCAGACGGCCCAAGAGGCCTCCAATAGGGCCCAAGAGGCCTCCAAGAGGTCCCCCAGGAAAGCCCGAAGAGGCCAAAATCATTGATTTTCTCTAGGTGTTTTCACTGTTTTGGGCATGTGGGCCTTTTCGGCTTTCCGACGGCCCAAGAGGCCCCCAAGATCGCCCCCACAGTGCCCAAGAGGCCTGCAAGATTGCCTCAGGACTGCCCACGAGGCCCCCAAGACGGCCCCAAGAGGGCACAAAGACGACACAAGAGGCCTC